CACGAGCAGCTTCATATTATGTGTATCAACTTTCGTACATGGTTGGAATCTGTTTTCGGATGAAGCGGAGTTGAATTGGAAGGAAACTAGGCTTGGAAGTTTAAACGGTGAGAATTTGACCGGAATTGGACTTTTGAGTAAACGGCTCCGGAATGAGGTTTAGATGATGTCAGCAGCTTGGCATGGTGATTTTGGACTTAGGCGCGCGTTCAGATATGGATTTGGAGGCTCGTAGGGTAATTTGAGGCGTTTCTGCGGAAGTTGGAAAAGTTGAAGTTTGGAAAATGGAGAAGTTTGACCCATAGTTGACTTTTGTGATATCGGGTCGGAATTCGATTCCGAGAGTTGGAATAGCTCCGCTATGTCATTTTGGACTTGTCTGCAAAGTTTGGCGCCATTCAGAGTTGATTTGATAGGGTTCGGATGCTAGGTTGTGATTCTAAAAGTTCTTGAAGTTTAAGCTTGATTTTCATGCATTTTGGCATCCAATTCGTAGTTTTAGAAGTTATTTTGATGATTGGAGCACGCGAGCGAGTTCGTGTTGTGTTTTTAGACTTGTGTGCATATTTGGTTTGGAGCCCCGAGGGCTCGGGTAAGTTTCGGATTGGTTCGGAATGATTTTTTTCATAGTTTTAGATTGCTGGTTTCTGGTGTCTGTTGCCCTCTTTTGCGATCGCGTAGCTCCAGTCGCGATCGCATAGAGTTCTGTTGGTTTGCCCCTTTTTCCTTCATAGCGTTCGCATAGCACCTCCCGCGATCGCGAAGGTCTGCTTTCTTCTTCTTCTTCGCGTTCGCATCTATTCCCTCGTGTTGCGTAGTAGAAATTAGGAGCTAGGGTCGGTTTGCTATTTCCTCTTCGCGTTCGCATCAATTTCCCAGCGTTCGCGTTCGCGTCCCTTTTCTCGCGATCGCGAAGGGTATTTCTTGACAGCTTTAATTCTCTTCTCCGCGATCGCGACCCAATCTCCGCGATCGCGATGCATAAATCCCTGGGCAGATAGAATATATCCCAAAATTGAGGGTTACACCATTTTCATCATAACTTGACTTGTGGAGCTCGGTTGAGCGAATCTTTGAGGGGTTTTCACACAAATCGATTGGGTAAGTGTTCTTCACCTAAAATTGATTATATTCCATGAATTTATCTTCATTTTTATCATTTAATTTGTGATTTAGGTTGAGGAAAATGTTGGTTTTTGAAGAAAATTCCTAAAATGAAAAATCGTGATTTGAGGGACCAAATGGTATCGGAATTTGATAAATTTTGTATGGTTAAACTCGTATTGGAATGGGTATTCGGTTTTTGTAAAAAATCGGGTTCCGAGGTGCGGGCCCAGGGGTCGACTTTTGGACCGATTTTTGATTTTGTTAAAGATTGAGACTTTATGATTCAGAATAGTTTCTTATGTGTTTTATTTGTACTTTGAAGTTAATTTGGTTAGATTTGAGCCGTCCGGAGGTCGTTTCACCACAGAAGTGCATTTTAGAGTATCGGTTTGTCGTCTTTGAGGTAAGTATCTTGCCTAACTTTGTGTGGGGGACTTCCCCTTAGGATTTGAGTCTTCTATGCTAATTGTAGTCCGTGCACGCCAGGTGACGAGTGTGTGCTCGGACTTATTAGTGGGAAATTTGCCTTTAGGGTTCTTAGGTCCTCATGTTCATTATGTGGAAAGTATTCCGTTATGATTGAGATTCCTAATTGCTTAAATTACCTCTATATGCTCCATATGTTGTTGTTAGATTTCCTCTAATTCTGCATGTTACATTGACCTTTAATTGCCTTAATAGAAGTGGTTGCCTTCCTTATTGTTTTGATACTTCTTGATTGTGAGTTCCTCTATGACTTTGTGCAAATATGTTACATGTCCAATTGTTGTGGTTACCGGTGTTGTTATCACGTGCTTATTATGTCTTGTTGTTTTGTTGAGGTTATCGTGCTTCTTGGTTTTTCCGTAATCCTCGTTATATGTTGTTGATTCCCTTGCCGAGATGTTATTGTTTCTATTGTTGATTCCCTTGCCGGGATGTTATTGTTTCTATTGTTAATTCCCTTGCCGGGATGTTATTGTTTCTATTGATTGATTCCCTTATCGGGATGTTGTTGTTTCTACTGTTTGGGTGAGGAAAGAGTGATAAAGCACGAAGGATGATGTCGTGCACATTTACATTTATATTGATGCATATGGTGAGGAAAGAGAGATAAAGCACGAAGGGTGATGCCGTGAACTTTTATATTATTCCTATGGTGATGAAGAGTGATAAAGCACGAAAGGTGATGCCGTGCACATTTACATTTATATTGATGCATATGGTGAGGAAAGAGATATAAAGCACGAAGAGTGATGCGGTGCACATGTATATTATTCCTATGGTGAGGAAGAGTGATAGAGCACGAAGGGTGATGCCGTGCACATTTACATTTATATTGATGCATATGGTGAGGAAGAGAGATAAAGCACGAAGGGTGATGTCGTGCACATTCATATGATTAATATGGTGAGGAAGAGTGATAAAGCACGAAGGGTGATGCCGTGCACATTTACATTTATATTGATTGCATGGTGAAGATTGAGAGTTAAAGCACGAAGGGTGATGCCGTGCACTTTCTGTTGCTGTGTTTATTTGTTGTTATCAATTCAAGTGTTTTAACTGTTTAAATTCTTTTACTACAGTGATCCTTTGTGTTGGAACCTACAGTGTTTTCAATACCTCGCCGTATTTATATATATGCATTTCGATACTTCAAACTTCAAATAAATGTTACATCTTTAATTCAATTAGTTTCTCAATTATATTCCCTTAAACCGTCTGAGGTTGTATTTTACTTAAAAATAAATTGCTACTAAGTTTTAAGTTATTAACTCCTATGTTAAAGGTAATAATCCATTCGATGTTGTATTTTAATTGAAAAGGGTACTTTCTTTACTCAAATAATTTCAAAAGAAACAACTTTATCTTTTCTCGCTGGCTTTCCTAATTAGTTCAGAAATTGTAATTTACTTATATTATGTAAATGAGACTTCTTGAACATCTTGAGTGCGTTGTACGGACATTATGTATTGTATAGCATGTATACTTTGTTGTTAAAAGTGTGATGGAAAATATGGGGGCACAAGGTGCCATGTGTGCTGAAGGTTCGGAAGTTGAGATTATGGTATGAAAAACCGAGGATTTGAGATGGTCGGGATTGTGTATTAGACATGATGTGATTGATTGAATTGGCATTGCCTTCTTTATTTGAATACATTCTTACTTGTCTCTGCTCTTATTATGTCAGTGTTGATTTACTCAGTTATCAGATTTACTTGGTTATCTGATTTACTTGGTTATCGTTCGTTACTACCCATGTTCTCCCTTTATTGTTCCTACTGTTTGTATTTTGATTTCTCTCCGCCGTTGATATTACCTCGTTATCTTTATCTCGATATTTTATTATCATATCCTGTTCATTTTATTTGACCAGTAGGTGTATTGACTGTTCCTCGTCACTACCCCGCCGAGGTTAGTCTTGATACTTTATGGGGCACCGCCGTGGTGTGCTCATACTACACTTCTGTACATTTTTTGGTGTACAGATCCAGGTATTGATCGATAGTAGTTGTGCGGGCCATCGCGGTGGAGACTCACGGTAACCTGTTGCTGCGTTCGCAGGTCTCGGAGTCACCTTCGTTGTATTTACGTTTCATTGATTCCTTCTCGTTCTGGAATAGTGTTTTATTTATTTTGTGTAACTACTCTTAGAAAGGCTTATGACTTGTACCACCGGTTATGAGCATTGTGATTTATTGAGAATTATTTAATTTGAAGTCAGTAAATGTTAGGCTTACCTAGTTTAGAGACTAGGTGCCATCACGACTCCTTCGCAGGGATTTTGGGTCATGACAGAAAGGGATAGCTGCACATACCTTGTATATACTGCCCAACCTCAAGTTATGCAAATGTCACGACTCCTTAGTGTACGATAAGAGAAATAATACTATCTTTATCGTTTAAGCATCGTACCTATTATATATCGACCGCAACCTATTTTACGATAAAACGGACAGCACCTCCCCTATTTATATGACTTTCCTTAAGTTAAACAATCATCAAACAGCCCAAACAACATAAAAAATAATCATATTGCGACAACTTTTGTCGACTTTTGTTTTGTAACTCATTTGACTTGAAGACTTATGATACGGATATTATATGATTCAAATACCTTAAAACACGACCTCTTGAGAATATTAAGCACCTCTAGTTTTACCTAAAAATGCGAGTTACAACATCCTTAATTCGTTTAACTTCTAATATTTGTTAACCACTCTTATACACCATTGTATCGGTTAAGACCAATAGAATTAACTTTTTATCATCTCAAAGATAATCTCTTCTCGGATTTACGTCAACTAACTTACGGTGTGAACTAACTTACGCGAATATGGGTTATAACAGGGATCAATGCGACAAAAGTCTTGTTGATGTCCTCTGGGATTTTCAGAGTGGTAAAAGCATTGATACATGTATCTATGACAGCGGAGTTTGTGTCAGTCCAGTATTTTGGTGGAACCCATGAGGTTCAGGTGCTTTTAGTGGTTTGAAAGATTGGATAGCATTCTTGATTTCAGAAATTAATAGAGGTTTTGTAAGACTATCCCTGTTTTGTTGTGATAGGATGTTTAGGAGGCTTTGGGTTAATTGGAATCGATTTAGGACAGGAAGTCACACTCAACAAAACAAATGGCCAAACTTGTTATTCCTCTCGTATTTTTGATCTCTAAAAGTTGGAGCGTGGAGTTGGGGGATGGATGAAAGGAAAAGCTAAACCTTTCAAAGTTCAAACCCTAATATTCTGTTCCTTAAGTAAAATTCTGGTCTTTAGATCTTCGGCAGTCACAATCAAACACTCTGGATTCTTGTAGCCAACCATTTGACAAATGGTCCTCGGAACATGACAAGAGGCATAAACTACAAGACATCATAAATAGAAACAGACATGCTTAAATAACACACAAATGTTTTAAATAATCTCTGCACCATGCATTTATTAAAAGTGTCACGGAAGTACACAAAATCATCACCAAGTTGAATTTATAAATAAAGGCCCAAACAACAAAAACTTCAACTAGAACATGGCTGGGACCCTATAAAGGTATGATATATATATATACATACCCCAACAATATTGATCATGACCCATATATAGAAATTCCTTCTATCTCCCTTCTCCTTTTGTATCCTCTATTCACAGGCGAAATAACAAAACCTCTAATCAAACAGGAGACAACAATGATTTTTCATGTCAAAGTGTAGAGAAACTTGTGGCCTTCCTTTTAAAGAAAGGATACATCACCCTCAGCCCTTGATCTGCTCCGGCTATGTCGTTTCCCGTGATGGTGGCGGGATCCGCCAAATGTAACAGGGTCAAAGACTCGGAGTCGTTCAGCTTCCTTAGGATCGATCACACATTCCGGAGGAGGGACCTTGTACCGAGTCTTGTCATAGCAGTACGAATACTGCATTTGCTTCTTTCTAAAGTTCTCCATTTTTCTTCTTTGATCAGGGGTAATACCGGTAGGGATTGATGCAGTTTTTGGTGCAGTATCACATTTGGATGATAATTCAATCGGATCAACTGCACATCCGTGGAGGACGAAATCAGAGAACTTGGCAATATACGGGGCATATTTGTAATTGACTTTGTATTTTCCACCATTGGTAGCCCAACCAGAACCATCCCATATTGTAGCATACAAAGACATTGGCTTAGATGGGAAGTCCCCACCCATAGCTTCTGTCCTCTTGATCTCTCTTATGGGGACATTATCTACATAAAAGCTGCAACAAGATGCACAAACACACAAAAACAAACATAACAGAATCAGGGCCTGGTTTACCAAACACCACAAGCACATGACAGTATACACATTCTAATTGTTTTGATATCACAAGACTGAAACAGGACAATAAATCTGCAAATACTGGTTTAATTTTACAGTAATATATAAAAAGCAAGCAAGCCTGCCCTACTCTCCCATGAAACCCACAGCCATGCCAACAAGATGGTATGTTAAGAAAGTCCGATCATTCTTGTACATTCACATAAACATATCAATCAGTATAAACTTTCCAGTCACTAACTTGTGCAGATCCTAATGTTCTTTTCAAATAGCAGTTCTTAAGCTCAAATATGAAACATAAATAAATCAAAACGGTCCGTTGTGATAGTGGAATTCATTGGATAATAAGTTCAAAAACAGAAGCATGCATATCGCAAGTCCAAACATTAACAGAAAAAATTCAGCAAGAATCCTCCATCTAAAATTATTAGCACCTGTGCATGCCAAGTTCTTGTCTTACAGCAGTTTAATAGTTCATCACATGAAAATTTTTTCAGTGTCAGGATTCCTCTATTTTTCTTTTATACAAGGGAGGGGAGATGTTTGTTTCCTGTTCTTAGTTTTAGGAGTACAAGTAGGTCACTGTAATCATATATATATATATATCTATGTTTAGAATCAACATAATAGCAAACTAAGGTAATTGGACAAGCTTTAGTATCAAAAAAGGAAAAAAAAGAAAAATATATGGACCTTTCTGATAAAAGAAACCATGTTTCCATCATATCAAACAGAGATCAAAACATAAACACCAAAAGCAGTAAAAACAGCTCAGAGGACAAAAGATTGTTCAGTATAGCTAGCTGGATTTAAAAGTAACTCATGGTATAAGAAGCAAAAAACTGTTTCATGAACAAAATTAGCAAAAACAAAAAATATTGAAAGGGCGGAGAGATGTTGCTTACATGATAAAATTCTCAGTCCAAAGAATAGTGTAGTGATGGAAATCTTCAGAAGGATCAAACCAGAGTCCATATCTTTCTTCTCTACCAACACTAGTGCTACCATTCCCATAAATATTGGTCTGAATTCTCCAGTCTTTACCTCTAATATTTCCCAAGAACTCAAAGTCAATTTCATCATGGTTCTTCTCAAACATGTCCACATTAGACATCTGTGTCATCAAACAAATTGGTAAAAATTTATTCTAAGAAATGGAATTTCAAAGGTAAAAAAATTCCAATTTTTATCCCCCAGAAAATAAATTTTTGTTCAATTTTAACACAACTCCAGAATTACCAATTTCCATTGGGTGGTGAAAACCCCATTCTTTAAAGGTAAAAAAGATTTAAAAAATAACTGAGGAGTGAGGACAAAGGGAGAAATTTACAGAATTAATTAACATATAAAAAATCATCAACAGTCCATATGGGTGAGACAAAAATCAGAACTTTCATCCATGAGAAACAAAACTGCTAGTACTAATTTAGAAAATGAAAAATACACAAAATAAAATAAATAAAAAATCCAGATGAAAAAAGAACATCAGGATTTAATGTTTATTAAAATAAAGAATAAAAGGAGCATCAGTGAATTAACAATAACGTACATAAAATGCAACAACCACACCAGCAGTGTAATCAGCAGGAAGCTTAATAGAAGCACTGAAGAATCCATGAAGATATAGGTCTTGAGACACAAATCCAGCCCCTGTAACTCATCCAAAAAATAAATTCTCGTTAATAAACATACATTAATAAAAATAATAAAAGCCATAAAAATAGTACTACAAATAAAGAAAAAAAAGGAACCTGTTCTTTCATCTAGAGAAATATGAGCAGATTTTCCATCTTTAAGGATCATAAGGTTATTATCACCAAAGAGATGGGAGTAGCCTTCATCAAACGCTAAAATTGGGAGATTTCTTGAAGACCCATAAACCAATTTAACAACGGAGAAAAATATGACAATAACAAGATGATAGTTCACCATTTTCTTAATATTTTTGCCCCTTTATTGAGGGGTTTAGTGTTCTTTGATCAGTTATGAACACTCAAAAGAGTTGTGTTCGTTGAGTATTTGTATGGAGTGGTAATGCATAAGCAAATGGGACAACTGAGAGGTCTCAGTCTCTACAGCAGAGAGAGAAAGAGAGAGGGGTTATGAGAAGGAAGACAAAAGGGAAGCCTATTTTTATGGGGTGGTGAGACTTTAGGTATGAGCTGTTCTCAACATTTTACACAAAATTTCAGTTGGAATTTTTTAAAATAGAAAATAGTAGTCCCTTTTATTGGATTTTTCCTGTGTGATAAATTGGTTTATTATTTGTTTTTGTTATCCATGCGCTTATTTGTTGATTTTATTTGTATTTTAAATATTAAGTGGCTTTACAAACAAAAAAAAAGAGAGAAAATTGAAAGGAAGAAAGACCATTGATGACAAGATGCGGGAAGCGAGGCTTAGATGGTTCGGGCATGTTTAGAGGAAAAGTCCAGATGCTCCAATAAGGAGGTGTGAGTAGCTAGTTGTGGAGGGCACGAGAAGAGGTAGAGGGAGGCCTAAGAAGTATTGGGGAGAGGTGATCAGGCAAGATATGGCGAGGCTTCAGATTTCCGAGGACATGACACTTAATAGAAAGATGTGGAGGTCGAGTATTAGGGTTGTAGGTTAGGAGGTACTTGAGTCTTGCCTTACATTGTACCTTTGTGAGACTAGTCTGGTAGGGTTTTTATCTAAGATAGCTAGTGGCAATGTTTTGTCTTGCTATTTCGCTTTTCAGTGTAGGACCTATTTACTAGCTATTGCTTTTGCTTTGCATCTTTCTTCTGGATTTCATGTTGCTCATATTTTTCCTATAATTTATGTGGTGATACTAATATTATCTTCTTTTATTTTTTTGTTTTTTTTGAATCAAGGATCTTTTGTAAATAGTCTCTCTACTCTTTTGGGTAACATATGTGTACATACAATCCTTCCAAAATTTCATTAGTGGGATTTTACGGAATTGTTGTTGTTGGTGAAAGGAACAAAGAAAATAAACAGAGGCAAGATGTAGAAAAAACGAAAGAAGTTGGGGTTTGGGAAAACGAAAAAAGGAAAAGAGAATGGAAAAAGGAAAATCAATTCATCTTTTCTGGCGCTTACAACTAAGATAACAACTAACAAGTGCATGAAATTAATTTCGTGATTTTTTTTTTTCGATAGAAAAGTTGTGTGTATATATGCAAAAAATACTGGGGGTAATTTTTTTTGATAAAATATTGTTTGTTTTTATTCATCCCATAATATTGGCAATAATTTTTTTTTTCCTAACAAATAAGCGTATGAAATAAGAAAGAAAATTTTAGTCACAAAATTAAAAGCTGCGTTAAAAATGGATGAAAAGAAAAACATGAGAACATAGCACATAAATTTTGAACATACAATTATGGAAGACGTAAAATTAGTAAAATGAAATGTATGTGTATTTTTCTTTAACTCTTACATTTAACATCTATCTCAACCCCTCCCACAAGAAAAAAGAAAAAGGAAATTGAAAAAAGTTAAGGAAAATAAAGTTTGGGGAAATAAGGGGAAAAGAAACAAAAAAAGGTAAACTTGGATTCTGCGCATTAATTATTAGACTAGCTTAACTTGGAATATATAATTAAATATAGAAATTAATATTTAATTAGAATCACATGTTGTTTGCTGACAAATAAGATGTTTGTACCTCTAATAAAAGTGGTGTTAGGAGAATGTCGTGTAGCCTAATAAAGAGAAGAGAGTGGCATTTGACTGACCACTTGCAACAATTAAGAGCCCGTTTGGACATAACAGTTTTTTTCACTTTTTTTCGAAATCAGAGTTTAGTAATAAAATTTTTAATTTTCATTTAAAGAAAACTTTTGGAACTTTTCGAAAATTTAAAATTTTCAAAAAGTTATTTTTTAAAATTTTCACTTATATTACTCACAAAAATTCAAAAACAACCCAAAATTCTATCAATTTCCAAATACAACTCTAATTTTCAAATATCATTTTCATTTTAAAATATTTCATTTTTTTAAAAAAAATTACAATTCTTATGTCCAAACGTCCACTAAATCTTTCTCGTACTATGAAGAAGAAACCAAACGACTTGTAACTTCAATTAGTCATAAACCTCATTAACTCCTTTCCTTGACTAACTTTTCTGGTGTCCAATCAATTAGTGCCTAGTTTGTTTGGTGGGTTATCCTCTTAATCATCACATTCAAGAGATAATAAAGAAGTGGCTCCAATTAATCATAGAAATAGTTTTGCTTAGCAACAAAGTTAGCACCTAAGCTCATAGATAGAGACATCCTTTGATAATAAAGTTGGCATTTTGTTTTAGAGTTTGACAACTCATTTTCTGAGATTTTCAAAAAACAAAAAGGTGTTTGTATGAAGTTTGAACTGTTTTTGCAACAACCAAAAAATATTACTCCCTCCGGTCCACAATAAGTGTTCAATTTACTTTTTGATTTTGGTCCAAAATAAGTGTCTAGTTAGGTAATCAAGAAAAAATTCAATTTGTTTTTACAAAATAACCCTTATGTACATATCCCTAAAAAGTTTTCTTACTCCTCACATTAAATTTTTAATTAGGGGCAGTTTAGTCATACTAGGTATTTTTGTATAGGATTTAGTATTTTCTTAATGAGCGTGCTAAAAGTAAATTGGACACTTATTGTGGACTGGAGGGAGTAACTTTTTAAAAACATCATGTTTTAAATCTTTTACTCCCAGTTTAGAACAATTTTTTTCCTTCTATTTTTTTGAGCTGTAAATTCTTTTAATTGGTAATAAAATCTCTTAATTACCATAAAAAGAAGTAGCCCTAGTTAAACAAGGAAATAGTTTGGTTTGGTAAATAATAAGGACCGGAGGGAGTATCTCCTAAGCCGGAGAATTTAAGCTTGCTGAGATAATTTTGTTTAATAATTGTTCTATTTACATTGACACCGTCATTTTCTATAGTAATATTTCTCGAAAAGGTAATAAGAGCCCTAAGCTGCCAAAAATCATTTATATTTTAAAGTATTTTTGTTTAAAAGTGCTTTTAAAAGAAGTATTTTTGCAAAGTAGCTGTTTGCGTTTAGCCTATTCATTGAGTATAAATTTTTGCAAGCAAATTGTATTTGGCCGGTCATTCAAAACAAAAAAATCTTTTGAATATCAAATTATAAAAAGGATCGTAAAGGTTTAATTAGCAATTAGTATTATTTAAAAGATATAAATGAATTTAAATATGTATTTTAATAAAAATCTAATTTACATATTATAATGAACATAAAAAATAGTTATTCCATAGCGATAATATTGGGGTATCTACTATTACTTATTATTTACATGATCATTTAAATATATTAAAATATATCGTTCAATATAAATTAAAATTTTACTCTTATAAATTACTATATAAAAGAAAAGATCTATATAGTAAGAAAAATATTCCAGATAGAAATAAGAGAACGAGAATAAAAATATGATAGGATTAAAAAGAGAAGAAACATATGGTAAAAAGAGCAAAAGAAAATAGAAATATCAAATTAATGGTCTCAAAAATATACATTTAATGTAAGGATATTTCTATCTTGAATAGATTAGTTTCTTCTTGAAAGAAGCTAGAATTTATTGATCTCCCCAAAAGTAGAAAAATTACTTTGTTGCTGTTTAAAAACACTTATTCATTTGGCCAAACATTTCAAATTTTTTCAAAAAGAACTTTTTTGACAAAAAAAAAAAGCAATCCCTCCGTTCATTTTTATTTATCCACTATACTTAAATTATATTTTTACTTTTACTTGTCCACTATACAAAATCAAGAGAAAGACAATCTTTATTTTCCTGTTTTATCCTTATCATTAACTATTTATTTCCCAATCATTTTTCAAGATACGCAAGTCATTTCCAGGAGAGAGAGTTTCAAGTATTTGGGATCTATAATCCAGAAGGATGGGGAGATAGATGAGGATGTCACACACCGTATCGGAGCAGGGTGGATGAAGTGGAGGCTCGCTTCCGGTGTCTTGTGTGATAAGAAGGTGCCGTTGAGACTTAAGGGTAAGTTCTACAAGGTAGTTGTTAGACTGGCTATGTTGTATGGGGCTGAGTGTTGACCAGTCAAAACCTCTCATGTCCAGCAGATAAGGGTAGCGGAAATGAGGATGTTGAGATGGATGTGTGGGCATACTAGGTTGGATAGAATTAGGAATGAAGTTATTCGAGACAAGGTGGGAGTGGCCCCTGTGGAGGCAAAGATGCGTGAGGCAAGGTTGAGGTGGTTCGGGCATGTTAAGATGAGAAGCGCAGATGCCCTGTCAGGAGATGTGAGATGTTGGCCTTAGGAGGTGTGAGGAGGGGTAGAGGTAGGCCAAAGAAGTCTTGGGGAGAGGTGATCAGGCGGGACATGGCGCTACTTGAGCTAACCGAGGACATGACTCTAGATAAAAGGGTGTGGAGGTTGAAGATTAGGGTAGAAGGTTAGTAGGTAGTCGTGCATCTCCCTTTGTCTTCTCTAGCTCGATAGTATTAGCGCTAGTTTGGTACCCTTTTTTCTCCTTAGTTTTCTATATTCCCATGTCTCATTTCGTTGTTACTTGCCATTGGTAATTCCGTAGTTTGCTTTCTAAATATGTTATCTTGCTGCTACTTGTTATCAGTATCCCTTTCATACTATCTGTTGCTATCTCCGATTTAGTTTTCTAATTATTGTTTTGCTATTACTTGCTACCAGGACTTCTCTCACCTTCTTTAGCCGAGGGTCTATCGGAAACAGTCTCTCTGCCCTTCCAGGGTAGGGTAAGGCTGCGTATATCCTACCCTCCCCAGACCCCACTTGTGGGACCACACTGGGCTGCTGTTGTAATCATTTTTCAAGATTTTCAGAATTGCATTCATTATTATGGATATATATAAAATATATATTTTATTTATTTTTTCTTAAAATGCGTGCAAAATAAAAAGTGAATAACTAAAAGTAAACGATGAAAGTACTTTTTACTTCCCAAAAACTTGACCGGACAGGCTCTAAGACTTTCTTACATACGTCTTATCAACACTAGTAGAAACAAAAACAATTAATGGTTCTATCTCTCAACTACAAATGGTTGAAAATTTACAAAATTGAGTTAAAGCAAAACTTGAATTTCAGGCACTTTATCATTCCAACTACGGATTAATT